CCCACCCACCCACCTGTTCATCCATCCATCCAAGGTGCTCTTTTTTTTTTTCCGTCTTCATACCTGCAACATATGGTGGTTGCGAAGGAAGCGGAAGACCTCCATGGCTGAGAAATCGAGCACAGTCTGCACAGAACAGGACCAAATTGATGCGCAGACAGGAATCTGAAGTGGACAAACAAAACCAACAGCATCACCACCACCTGTCATGCCATTAGCTCAGAAATCTCATATACTTATGTGACCAATGTGCAGACAAACCCCCAGCCATACATGTTTGGAGTAGGGGAACAACAGAAGAGGGGAGGAACGGGGGGGAGCAAAAAGGGGAAGGGCCAGGGAGAGGAGGAGACATAAATGCGGTGTGCTTAGGAACGCCTCTTAACCATATAGATAATCATTCAACTGCCATAACCGTCCCTTGCCCATTTCTGAAAAGTGGGAATCGCATTTATATACGTGAGCAGAAAATACAGCCTGTTATCTGCAGGGACATTGCCACCTGCAGATAAGAGAGAGCCCTTAATATCAAACACCCCAAACTGGGATGTTAGCAAAGGCTTGTTTCTCTAGAAAGTCAGAAGGTAATAATAGTGGCACAGCGCAATAGCATACATCGTTTTCTGGGTTTTTTTTTTTTTTTTTTTTTTTTTTTTTTTTTTTTTTTTTTTTTTTTTTTTTTTTTTTAACGCAACCACACACCGCCCCTTCTATTCTGGGGGCCACCAGTCCGGTTGCTTATCACCAGCAAGCAAACCATGTTTTTGTACAAGAGAGCAATACGGGAATGGGAAGTGACGGGCATGAGCAACCTGGGAGACTCCCCTTGGTACTCAGACATCGCCCACCACCCCGTTACCTTCCACCCCGCGAACATATCCCCTAACCTCACATCCTATCGTCACAATCCCTAGAACCCACGCCGTACCACTCTTCCTGTGTTTTCCCTCTCCACATTGATCTAGCATTCATCACCTTCTTCTATGTGTACCACCATTACACCCTTCCTTGACCTTAGCCCCTTCAGGTTGTTTTTGATCATCAAGCCAGACTATGCGTCATCAGCTTAGAAGTTGGTACCCATCACTTACTGTCACTTCTTGTCGCTTCTTGTCGCCCTCCTCCACACTTTCCCCTTACTCCCACTTCTTGCCGCTGTGATGGTTCTATCACCCTGCTTGCGTTGTTCCACCCCCCCATCATACTCGGTGCTATCCGTACTTGCTAGATTATGCTCCATATCATGCCCCGGATATGCATATTTGGTGAGTACAAGGCAATTTACTTGTCAAATCATATCCACTTTTTAGCCCATGATGTAGCCTACTCGCCGCACATGCCCCTATCCCTGCCTACTCATCCCACGCACCCCTATCCCCATGTGCCCATAGACCCCTTGCCTGGTAAAGTACCCCCCCCCCCCTCCTTGATCTATTCTGGCTGGCGTCGCTCCCCTTCTCCCGTCGTGAACCGGACCCCCTTCCGAGACCGACCTGAGCAGCAGCCCGATGATCAGTCGCCTGGCGGCCACATCTATCCACACCAGCGCCTCGTTGTGTCCCCATATCCGCATGACTGTCAGTATTACATTGGTGCCTCTTTCAAGAAAAGGAAAACGAAAACAAATACATACATACATACATACATAACATGTGAGAGGGGGTTATATACCCACCACGTTACCAATACAGCTTTTGTGTGTCAGTGTGTCGGATGCTGGAGGCGAGGCTATTGGAATGGCCTCCGTCATCGGGCCTCGGTTCAGAGGACAAACAATCGTTGAATCCTCCTGATGAGAGTACTTGCGGGGTAGTTGAAACAGGTAGCGGAGTGGCCGCCAGACTGTGGATGTTGGTGGGGTGAGCCTGCTCATCTTTAGGGTTAGCTTGGCTCATCTTTAGTGTTCGCTTGGCTCATCTTTGTGGGATGAGCCTGCTCAGCCTTCTCATCTATGGTTGTTGGACTATCCGAGCTCACGTGTGTGTATCTGACGAATTGGATCATTGCGTTTTCCATCTTCTATCCCAGTGTGCTCTTGCTTTTGCATGCCTATTGGATACGTGCTATATTGGTTGTATGTTCATCATCTGATCTCATGCCAGTGCTGGATGGTCGTACAGTACTTCAATTCAATTCAATTCAATTCAAATTACATTCAAATTGATTCAATTCAATTCAATGCCGACACCAACCATTGCATTCATTGGCTTCAAATTTGTGACCCCCCCCAAAAAAAATGCCCCCCCTTCCCTCCATGGCCCCCCCTCCGCGGCCCCTCCTCCAGCCCCCTTGATCTGGTGGCGCCCTTCACAAAACTGTTAGTTTTTGTTTAAGGGTACAGAAAAAAGGGGAGGGGAGGGGAGGGGAGGGGAGAGGGGGGGAGGGCAGGGAAGGGGAGGGAAGAGGAGAGGAGGGCAGGGGAGGGCAGGGGAGGGCAGGGGAGGGCAGGGGAGGGGAGGGAGGGAAGCGGGGGGGAGGGCAGAGCATAGAAGCATACCAAATAACACTGTCGGAATTTCTGAGAGTAGCCGTGTGAGTTTAGAAAGTGCCCTAGGGTATCACTATTTTCTGCCATGCCTGCCTCCTTGCCCTCCTCACGCTTGAGGAACCTGCAGTCAACCATTAACCAGTCACAATTAGTCGTAATGGTTAGAGAGAAATTTTGTATTTCAAAAAAAAAAAAAGAAGTATTGGTTATGCTGCTTATGCAACAAAAAGAAAAGAAAAAAAAAAGAGTTTGCTAAGCCCAAAGGTTGCAACAAATTCTGCCTACACTCTACCTTCTTCCGCCAAATACAACGCACAGTCATGATAGCTGTATTAGACTGAAAGATACGCCAGCTACAATGACCGCACGGGGGAAGAAGGTAGTTATCACCTATGGAAACATGCCGACATCCATCCGGCAGGTCAGCCGGCGATCCATATTTTACATCGGGAGCAAACGCAGTAAACAAACCCTAAACCCTGAACCGAAAGGAACCCAGCAGGCTGCCTAGTCCCGCGGGACAGCTGTTAAAATTGGAACAATACAGAGAAAGAAGATTAAAATCGCACCCGCGCAAAGATGAGACCCACATATTGAAAAATGTTATTTATAAAATTAAAAAAAAGTTGCATACCTAACAAAAAAATTGCTAGTCTAGACAAAAGCTAAACAGAAACCAAAGCAGACCAAAGCACAGCTCCTAGCCAAACCAAAACCAAAACCAAAACCAAACCCTAAACCCAATTGAATTCCAAGGCAAACCCAGACCAAATCAGAGCAGTCTAGACGAAAGCAAACCAAACCAGACCAAACCAAACCAAACCAAACCAAACCAAACCAAACCAAACCAAACCAAACCAAACCCAACCCAACCCAACCAAACCAAACCCCAGAGTAGGGAAGACAAATCCGCACCAGATCAGATCAAACCGGAGGACTCAAATTTCAAACCATTCTCCCAATCAAATGCCACAGGCAAAACCAAACCAAACTAAACCAAACAAAACAAAACAAAGCCAGGTATTGTATAGACATATATATACGTCTATATGTATATATATATGATATATGTGGTATACATACGTCCAAAAAACAAACCAGACTTAACCAGACTTAACCAGACGTAACCAGACTTAACCAGACTTTGCCCCGGACAAATCAGAGGGACGAGACCAAGCCAAACCCGAACCAGACCAAGCCAAATCCGAACCAGATCAAAGCAGAGAAGAGTAACCAAACCAAGCATCAGAGACCAAGCCGAATAGAACATAAGCAGGCAGGATAAGATGACGGATATAGTATGTGCTATGTACACAGTACGTGCCCCAAAAAACTGCAAAAAAAAAGGACGAGCAGACCAGACCAGACCAGACCAGACCAGACCAGACCAGACCAGACCAGACCAGACCAGAGGAACCAAGTGGCCAAACTCTGTTCGACCAAACCAGATGGTCCGAACCAAAATCCAAAACCAAACATCATCACAGACCAAACCAAACCAAACCAAACCAAACAAACAGCCATTCCCCAACCAAATGAAAGCAGACTAGAGTGAGGAAGGAAAAGGGAAACTAACCAGAGCAAACCAGACCAGACCAGACCAGACCAGACCAAGCCAGACCAAGCCACCAGACCAGACCAAGCCAGACCAGACCAGACCAGATCAGGCCAGATCAAACCATACTACCGTAGCCGGAATAGCAAAGGTTCCAAAACCAGCCCAAACAAGGCGAATTAAAAAATCCAGAAAAAAAAAAAAAAAAAACAAAACGAAAAAGACAAAAAAGACAAAGAAGGAACAAGGCCGAAGGACGACAAAGCAGACATACAAGGGAGAACTGCTTGAAAAAAAACACAAAAGAAGGGTACGGTCACCCCCAGTGCCCCCAGCGCACAAGCAAGGGAAAGTGTTCTTTTATGCAGTGCCCCACTGTATGTACGTGCCACGTCCTGCTCAACTACGGTGAGAGGACCTGTCAGGTAATTCCCCCACCCACCTTAGGGAGGAGGACCATGCAAAAAAGTCGCTATTAAAAAAGGTGTACCTCCGCCAATGTTGGGAAATGAAAGAAAACTGGCAGTTTTCCCAAAGTCCTCGAAGAATTCGAAGGTGCCAGAGGCTCGGCATCCATTGTATTTCCGAATACCAAAAAAGAGAGGGGGGAAAAAAGAAAGGAAGGAAGGATGTCGAGGAAGGCCGTGAAGGAGAGGTGCTCACATCAGTACTCAAAGGAACGCATCTACGCAGAAATACTGCTAGTTTCGTTTTTTGTTACGTGTGTTCTCTTTTCATGGATGGTGTTTTCGTTTTACTGCCCTGCCAACAAGGCAGGGCGCATTCCACGGCCAGCTGACACTTTGCAATGGAGGGCGCAGTCTCATATGTTGGCAGGGCGCATTCCACGGCCAGCTGACACTTTGCAATGGAGGGCGCAGTCTCATATGT